AAAACATCAAGTTGCACACTTTCAATACATACAATATTTATTTGTCCAATAAACCTCAATAAAATTGTGAAGACAAAGAATCTGATCGTGTTTCTGGAATGAATACAGTAATCAATATCTGGTTGGCAATGATCGCCACAATTTTTATATTTTTATTTATTTTAAAAGGATCCTTTAAATTTTAATACCCTAACCTACAAATAAGCCACATAATGGGATATAAGATAGGATAAATAATTAAGATATATATATATATATATATCTTATATATAGCTATCTATCGATATCTATCAATAGATGATAGATAGATAAATAGATAGATAGATATGTCTAGATAAAGCCCAAGAGGCAAATTATAATAATGCAAAAAAAACCCAAAACCTTCAATACAAATAAATATAATACCAGAATTACCTTTGTAATTCTAGATTACAGGTAATCTAGAGGGGGTAATCATGATTTAGAGCAGACCATCCCATATAATTTGCTATGCTTGAATAGACATTAACTTAGATTTATTTTTGCCAAAAGCAATTCACCAAAAGTTATAATATCAATTACACTTGGAAACTCACCCTTAATTTGTCATAGTAGCAGTTTTCTGCCGATTCAATGTCTAGCTCCAGGATTCTACCATGGACAACTTGAGAGGCATTCACATTTACTATCCATTGGTACTCAGAGTTGTGGGGGTAATTTCCAGGCCATAAGGGAGAGGCAACTTTCCCATGAGTTCCCACAATATTATCATTGCCAAATACTAGGAGGAAAAACAGAGCAGTAAATCAGAACTACTTAGAACAGCTCTCTAATTAAATTGAAAAACAAAAGGCAAGGGGTGTTGAAAAGGATGGACTTTTAATTGACTATAATTTCTTTTCTGAACACTGAAAGAAATACTGCTTCCCTTTTGGTTTCTGTGCTATCTGTTAATTCATGGAGAGGGTGATTTTGTGAATGAAACTCCATCTTCTTAAAAGGTTGCATGATGTGAAAAGAGAGGAAAACCTCCCATTTGAAAAAGGGTTGGTTCCCAGACCCCGGGGGACTTGCAGACATGGGAAGGGGGGGGCTGACCAGCCCTGTTCTTTAATTTTAGTTTACCTATTTTACTTTGTCTTACAAAAGAATAAAACATGTTTTTAAAATTGAAAAGGAGAAACTAACATTTGGGAACCACATATATAATGGATAATTATGAAAAAGTTGAGTTAGAAAATAAAAATATTTAACATTTTATGCTATTAGAAGAATACCCTGTTGTAATAATATCTGAGCGCTTAAACCAAACGCAAAGTAATATTTAAGGTTTTTAATTTGAAGAATATAGAGTTTATGGGATCAAATGAAAGACATTTCTACAAATATACCAAACCTGCACTATAATACCTTCAAAGACTCTTTAACACAATATCACAAAAAATCCTTTAACAATTAACTAGAACCAAAGCTTAAGAAAAATGGAACCCTTGAGTGTTCTCGCTGGCTCTTAATGAGCCATTCATGTATAATTTAGTTTTTCAAATATATTATTAATATATAATTAAGTAATTCCACAGAGACAATAAATAGAGGAGAATAGTGTAGAGCTCAGGATTGTTCTTAGTGCATTCCTGAAAGGAGTGTTATTTTTTCTGCTTTGTAGGACTCATTTTGGAAGCCATCACTGAAACAGAATCAACTTACTGTTGGTAAATGTGGCCTGGAAGCCTATGCCACCACCGGAGCCATCGGAGACAAACCGAATCCACAGGATATGCCCAACAATAGAGGAATAATTGAGGGGGAGGACATTTCCACAGTACCGTCCCACCAAGTGACCAGTGGCGTTTCCTTCCCGGATCTCTACAAAATCTCGGCTACAGTCTTGAGACTCTTCCAGTTGGAAAGTTCTGATTTGGAACAGAAAGGAAAAAGAAAATTTTAGGGCGATACAATTGACAGAATACATTTTGGGATTATCCTGAACCACATCACATGCTGGGTTAACCTGTTCACTTTCTTTACCTTTAATCGCAATAGTTTCAGCTAACTATAATAATTTCTTTCACTGGGGGAGGGGTTATCACTTTGTGAGGGGTGTAAATGTCTAACTATTTATTGTACTGTTTTGTATATCTGAAACTAATTTTAAAAAGAGAGAGATAAATAGAAAACAGCAAATAAAAAAAATTTCTTCACTCAAAATTGTTGAAATACCTAGCCAAGAGATACAAAGATAATTAATACACTGCCTTCAAGGAGTTTTGTTTCTAGGAGGGGGAAATTGAATAAGAATACAGACAAAATATATTAAGAAGCAGACTATCCTAAATGCCATCAGAGCTATAAAGTGGTACAAGAATTGAGAGGCAGAGGTGTCACATTTGATTGTGGGGCTCAGTAATAACTTGATGGAGAGATTTTTTTTTGAGATGGAAATGTAAACATTAGCTGAATTTAGGAGCAGAAATGATGGACAGAGAGTGCATGCCAGCAATAGCACATATGCAGAAAAAGGTGGGGCAATAGCACATATGCAGAAATCTGTGAGAGGTCTAGTTTGGCTGGAACTTTGAGTACTTTTAAGAGAAGATCAGGAGCCATAGCTGGGGCAGTATGTTGGCCTAACTTTGGCAGAACTTAAATGCCAATCAAAGGCACGTGCACTTAATTTCTGGAAAGGTAGAAAAAAATATGGCATGTGTAATAGCACAAGCTAGGGTTCAAGCCTGTCCCCTTCTTCTTGTTTTATATTTTGCAATTATGATGACATTGGAGAATACAGGGTGGGAAATATCTATGTCATATCATGGTCCTTAGTAACAGATATAAAGTGTCTGTGACACATAGGTGCTAAATGAATGCTTTTAAAACTTGGTTTTGATGCTTAAAAAACTTGGATATAATCAAGATAATATGGTATTGGTGTAAGGATAGACAGAAGAATGACATAAAAGAGAAAGTCCAGTGAAAAAGCCACAAATATGGAGCCAATACAGCCTAATCCACAGCTTCAATAAATCAATACCTCAACCCCAATCTTACGCAAACTGTAACAAAGAATAGAAAAGAAGAGACAGACTCCAACTTATTTAATGAGGTTAGTATAACCTGGAGAGGAAAATGAATCAAGGAAAGTCAAAAAACAAAAAAACATGTTTAGGTCAATCTCACTTAGCAATATAAATGAAAAATGTAACATAAGATATTAATGAAATGAATCCATCAGTTTGTAAAACATGTAAATCTCAACCAAGCTGAACTCACCATGGTTTAAGATTAGAGGATCTATTAGAACAATTCACGACACACATACACCACCCCCCACACACACAAAGACTGAGAAAAATAGATGCAAAAATATATTAAGATGGAATCAGTGAAAAGAGCAGAAAAGCATTTGCTAAAACTCAACATCCGTTCATCATAAAAACACTTAGATAATTAGGAATAAAAGGAAATTTTCTTAAAGGGATGAGAAATGCCTACCAAAACCTACAGCAAATAGAGGTAAAAATTTTAAAACACTTACTTTAAGTCATTAACAGCACAAAGAAGCCTCATCTCATTACTTTGTTCCACATTATACTAAAGCATTTTCCAGGGCAGTAGGACAAGGAAAAGGAGGGAAAGGTTGAAAGTATTGGAAAAGAAGAGCTATAAATTGTAATTCAAGAGAGCTCATTCATTTTTAAATCTTTACTGAGCACCTTAATGTGTCAGGTCCCCCATCTTCTAGGCACTGAAGACACAGCAGTGGACAAAAGAGACAAAAAATTTTGTCATTCTAAATAATAGGATGGTTATTGAATAAGATAATATACAACAATTAATAGGGTTTTCTTATACCAGCTAACAAAAATTTAGAAACTGTAACTTAGTCAACATTCATTCAACAAATACTTGACACTTTACTATACTGCCAGACACTGTTGTGGGGATCAGGGATAGACAATGAAGAAAATAGATGATGTTCCTCCCGTAGGGGGGCTTATATTCTAGGAGAGATAGATAATAGACTAATAAATAGATATATAATGAGGCAGTGATAAGTTCTAAGTGGAAAAAATAAAGGAAGGAAGGAAGGGTTATTTTAGGTAAGGTGGACAGATTGCATCTGTAGCCTTTAAATGGATGTCATTTTCAATAGCAACAAAAAATAAGGTGCCTAGGAATAAATATAGCAAAATACCTCTAAGAATTTTATAGAAAAAATATGAAATTTTAGTGGACTTAGAAGGAGACTGAAATAAATGGAGCATATTCCAAGTTTAAGAATATAAAGTCAGTAAATATTCTCCCAAAATTAATCTATAAATTCAAATAATTCCAGTAAAATAAAGTATGATTTCATTTATGTAAAATGTAAAACAGAAAGCAATACTATATAGTGTGCATGGATATATATATATATATATATATATATTTACATATATAAGTTTGCATATATACTATATATATTGTGTATGTACATATAGTAAAATTATAAAAACATGTGTGAAAGTGACACACACAAAATTCAAAATATGGGTTACCTCTGTGACAAGAAGGTAAAGTGATATGGATGGGATACTTTTGCTGCCTTATGACATTTTATTTATTTAAAATTAAATTTTAAAGAAAAGTGTAATGAAAGGTTTTTAAAAAAAAGGTAAAGAAAGTGAATGCAAACTACTCTTTTTTTTCAGGAGTAAATAGAGGGATTTTTTGTTGAGAGAAGGAAAGACAAGATAAAGAGAAGAAAGAATGGCCGAGTAAGACTATAGAAAAAAAAAAACTGTTGGGAAGGGGAAAAAAAGGTCTCGAGAATAGAAAATGTACTTCTCAACTGTGTGTATCTCTCAGCCAATGTTCAATATCATGTTGAACTGCGAGATTTCACATGATGGTAAGTGTGGTGCTCTATGTCGGCTAATCGATTAAAATGCTTACGGTCGGAACAACCAGCCTGGAGGCGGTGGCCACCTCAAGTCCCACTCCAGGCCAGTGTATAGGGCACACCTCTGAGCATGCGCTGCCAACCAGACACTGGGACACACTGATTGGTCAGCTCTGCTCTACCATCAGCTTCTCAAGCCAGACACTCGCACCCATAGGTCTCTAGCCAGACAGTGAGTAAGTGGCCCTCACAATCCTATCAAGGAGGGTTACTACAGTACAGATATTCTGGATCTATGTTCTGGAGAGAATTCTAGCAGCAAGCTGTAGCAGAAAGAATCAGGAAATACCCACATCGGGCTAAATGAACTATACATTTGTCTTTCATCTTCCTTGACAATTTGACTTTTTATAATAAAAAAAGTGTATACCTACAATCATTTTTGGCAAGGAATTGTTCTGAATCCATCTTTCAGATGGTTGCCAAGTTTGGCGTTTAACTTCAGGCTCGGTTTTATTGCCAATAAAAGCATCAACACCATGAAATATATTAAAATTGTTTTCTTCTGCCTCTCAGAAAAAAAAGGAGAAAGGGAAGTCATTTTCCCCAGCAGGTGATTTACATGAAATCACCTCTAAAACACTTCTACTCAAAGTGGGAAATGAAGAGCCAGGCCCCACCAACCAACTGAATCAGACTGGATTTTAGCAAGATCTCAGGTGACCAGTATGCACATTAAAGTTTGGTCCAATGGTCCAAAAGATTAGTAAGTGCAGGTCTTTTTCTGTTTTAGTACCAGACCGGTATGATCCAGTGCTAAATGCCAGAAAAGACGTTTGATGAGAAATGATGGTAGGATGATATCTACAAGAATCAAATTCAACTTTTTAAAAAGGTTATTGTTCCTGGAAGCCTTTGTTTGAGGTTGGTACGCTTTGGAAACAAATCTCCCGTTTCCAAACACTTTGGCTAAGCTCGGTTAGCAAAAAATATGACGTGGAACAAAAATGGTATAATCGCTGTTTCTCATTATCTCATTTTGATCCTTGAACCAAGATCAATCCCTTTCTAAAAGCACTCTGTAAGCATAAAATATATTTTTTGCTAATTCCTCTAAAAAAAAAAAAAAAAACCTCCTTTTTAGTTTTTATTTCTCCCCCCTCCTTTTTGTTGCAGATTCAACCATAATTTCTCCAGTTTTTCTCCCTACTCTATTTCACCACAGTGTCCGCAATCCAAACCCCAGGTTTTAGAACTTGACATATCCCATATGCTTCTAATATGCTTCTCACACACCCAAGGAAAGCCCCCAAGCACCCATCTGGATGTCGTTTAGACCAGGGCAGAAGTAACTAGCAGGCCTTGCTTGCCATAAGCTCTTTTCATTTTCCCCTACATAAAGAGAAACACCTTGCATTCTGCAAAATGTATTGTAAAAATAAAACACAAGTGAGTAACACAAAATCATCAAAATTAACTTCTTATGGGTGAGAGAGGAAAAAGCTGAGTCACTACGATTTGTCTACACAAAAATTAGCATTTTAGTGCCCCTTAGACAGTAAAATGGGTGGAACTCGGTTTTTTTGTGTGTGTTTATCTCCCACCTTCTAGAAGGCGAGCCCAGTGCTGTCCAATTGAATTTAACTGGGAACTGCCACCCAAGATACTTTAGAAATGGTAAAATGAGAGAATTTAACATTTCATTGAACATCTGGTATGCATCAGCTTTGTGCTATACGTTTTAAATTTAACATCTTTAATCTTAACAGTGGCCCTATATGTATATGATCATCTGCTATAGATGAAATGAATCTCTCTAGGTTTTAAATAAATAGCTTCTTGACATTAATTTATTAGGAACCCATCAAGAAGTGGGATCTTATG